ATTTATTTATTTATTTTCTATTATTATCAACAAAATAACACTTTATTAAATCTGAAAATCATGTCACTCATTCTTATAAGTCATAAACTGTTTATAAAAGCTACTAAAAAATGTTAATATAAAAATAATTATTAAAATTCATAAAACGACTAAGAGGATCGTTACATTTCTTTTCAACATAATTTATAAATTTATAAATTAATAAAAACGAAATAACAATTCTATAAAAATGAACATAAGAAGGTAAAACTAAATAAAATAAGATATAGTTAATTCGACTATTTTAATTCTGAAATTAAAAAGAACAAATATTGCAAATAAATATAAATCATTCAAAAGCCCAATCATTCTCTTTACGGATCTCCTCTTCTTCCTCTGGAGTAAAATCATTCTTGATATCAAATTATTTACGTATATCTTCTGGTGTTTTTCCTTTAATCCTATCGACAACTTCTTGACATATCATATCCAATATCTCCTTATCGTTAAGAAAATTAGAAGCTAAGATAAGAGCATGCAAAATCGAGTGGTGCACATTCACAAAAGCCTTGTCAAAATCCATCAACATGTATTTGGAGACACCATCCTCCGAATGTTTCTTCCAGTATTCAATCACTTTGCTCATTGTTTTGCAATGGACATTAGGCAGGGAAATGGCGTTTGAAACACAATCATCTTCAACCATATTCTTGATAGTTTGTGACCTTACGGCTATCGCCTCGTCGAGTACAAATACTTTACCATCGCAAGTCTTAGGAGTTAAGAACTTTGTTGAAGAAGACATGATGATAAAAATATATTTGAATAAGAGATGTTAATTTGTTTTTGTTCAGATTATTATTGAAAGGAGATTTGAATGATTATAATGTCTGAGAGATTTGAAGGGCTTAATTTATAGAGCATTAGGTTTTCACTTGTCACGCCTCGAGCCTACACCCTGGGCGGGACTGGCACTCGAAGACCATTGATGGCCCCAACCAAACCCTTGCCCTGGCTTACTTAACTAAGCGGAAGACTTAAACATAAGAAAATATAACTCATGTATAACTTAAGAAATAATAGTTTAGTCAAAATGGCAACTAAGTCTTTAAACAACATCTGAATGATAATGTAAAGACAACTGAACTACTAACTGTCTATGAAGCCTCTAAAACAAAGAGGGACGTCGGGACAGGACCCCCGATCATCCTAACATCTGAAAGACTAGAAAGCAAATAAAGGTGTCCTCTGGAATGCAAGGAGGCTCACAAACAGACTCTGAACTGCTCACTGGATCAACGATGCGCCGAAATGTCGATCCTAGTTACCTGCATCTGCATCATAAGATGATGCAAGCCAATTGGTATCAGTACATTGAATGTACGAGTATGCGAGTTGGAATGCTAAAACAACATATAGGCTTGAAAGGAATCTGAAAGAACACTTACCTTGGCTCTTCTTAACTCATGAATACATAACTGAACTCATTTCAATATAAAGCAGTTTAAAACAAGTGCAATATAAAGAAAAACTGATTAAAAACATGATGTCAACTATGTGTATATACAAGGACACAACATGACTCTGAAATGTATGTAAAAATACAATAAACTGATGTATATAAAAATACAATAACTTTTTGTGGAAGTTTCTCTAACCGACAACCATCACTTAAGAGCTATAGTGATGATACAGTGATCTTCCTCATGCTGCCAGTGCATCCTATACCTTGCCACAGGTATAAGACCTGAACTACTAAGTGAATCCACTAGTCTATGTGAAAAGGATTCATCTAAAAGTATGACCCTTTTTCTACCCATGATGGCTACATGGTTTATGGGGCTGTGAGTTGTCTGAACTCTCCCCCATATCGGTGGTCAATACTACTCCCAAAATATACTAGCTCTTTATGTTTTAAAAACATACTTCTTTCTGTGATTTGAGATTAGTGCTTAAAACTTAGCTCAAAGGCTATCTTGGAAATCTCGGTTTCCCTTCTTGCTTCATTTAAAAAGCTATTACTCTTTTCTGAAAACTAGCCCCGAAGGATCTTTGGAAATCTCAGTTTCTGTTCTTATTTTAAATGTGAAAAAAACATTTTTAAATCTCTTTGGGAATACTTAGTCCCCATATACTATTTGAAGAAATGAACTTCAATACAGAAAACTAGCCCGAAGGATCTTTGGAAATCTCAGTTTCTGTTCTTATTTTAAATGTGAAAAAACATTTTAAATCTCTTTGGGAATACTTAGTCCCCATATACTATTTGAAGAAATGAACTTCAATACATACTCTTTACTATTTACTCAACTTGAACTTTATGTCTTAAAACAAGGTTAAAAAGCATTTGCAAAAGACTTCTTGAAAAGACTCTAATAACTTCCTAGACTTGGCTCTTGACTTTCCTTGAATTTGAATTTATGGATTCAAGGTTATGATTCATGGTTATGGATGATTTCTAGGTATTTAGAAGTCATTTAGAGTAGTTAGAATCAATGGAAAGTGTTAGGACACTTTAGAATAACTTAAATAGGCTAAACGACGAAAAATTGGTGAAAAACGCCGATCCAGGCGCGTCCCTGGCGCGCCACGCCAGTCCCCAACTTACTGGGGCTTGTTTTGGGCGCACCGCCCCAGCCTCCTGGCGCTATGGGGGCGCGACGCGCCTAGCCCTCCCCAGGTGCGTCTGACGAGTTTTTCAACTCGTTTTCTGATCCTAAATCGTTTTAATCTGATTCTTTTCCCAAATTCACCTTAGATTCATGTACCCAAATCATATGCACAAAACTCTAACCCAAACAACTCAAGGAAAAAACACTTAATCATCAAGAAACTCCTTAATCCTAACTCATATTCAAGAACGAAATCAATTCAAGAACAACTATCAAGAACATCAATTTCTCAATCTTTTTAGGACGAAAATACGCTGAATTAAACATGCTTGGCGCATGGGTGAACTAACCCAACGCTATGTGATCTCACATACCTTGTGGGGATCACCCCCGACGAAAACCACAAGCTAATCTCGACGAATCTTGAACGTTCTTGCTTCCCCTTCTCCTTTCTCTTTTCTCCAACCCTAGCGTAAATTCAAATTTTCTAAACTGACTAAATCTGATTTGACCCATATTAAACTCCTAAAAATGGATCAAAATAATAGGGCAATGAAAAGACTAAAATACCCCTTAAAAATTCCGGATTGGACATTTTCCTTAATCCAGTAGCCCAACTTCCAACGGGCATAACTCACTCATACGAACTCGGAATCATGCAAACTTGGCGGCATTGGAAAGATCATTCCAAGGGCTGTCCAACCATATCTGGAATCACACCTAAATCATCCTAATCTAGGAGTTATGATTGTTTGAAGTTGACCAAAAACAAACTTTAACTTGCCAAAATATAATTCCAGATTTCCTCATTCTTTCCAAAAGTAACTATTTCCAGATTCTAAACTTCCTTCTAGTTCTTTCTAGTTGCGAGATGTTACATCATTGTTCTAGTTGAAGTAGGAAGTCAAAACGGGGAAAAAAAGTTCATGGGAATATTTATGGAGACTTGCTTAAAAAAAGAAAATTTCTTGTAATTGGAGTTAATGGGTGTTTGAAAAATCCAATCTTTATCACTCAGAACATATGTAACCGATAGGAAGATACATGGTGATAGGTACAAAAAAGCTTTTGTTGTGTATCTTCTTGTAAAACCTGAAGTTAATATAACTTTGGAGAATGGTGTTTGAATAGTTGTAGACACATCTTTCATCTTACACTAAGTTTTCTTTTTTATACCATAAACAAGAGGGAAATTAAGACTACCTGATTTTCTCAAATAATATAACTAGCTTTATTTCTTTCCAACTAACCTTCTTATTCATGATTTTTTTAAAAGACATGTAAAGAGAAAAGTCTAATATTTAATATGAGACGGAGGAAGTAACGTTCATCATATTATTTTGTTTGTATGTTAATTGTCCTCCCAACATACATGATATAAGTGGAGAGATTATTTTAGGTCTTATGATTTAGAGAGAAAATGCATCATTACCTCATTCAACTATAACACACTGTTTAAAAGACACTGGAACTTTGCAAAGGTCCTAGCACCCCCTTAAATAATTTAAACGTTGCAAAAATATCCCAGTTTTTGGTCAATCTCATGTATAATAAAGAAAGTGCATACACATACCAACTATTACCTACCATGTGCCAATTATTTTTTAATTTTATTTTCATTTATTTCTCATTCTATTTTTAACAAAAAATTCTCTTTACTTCTTCAATTGTTAATGTACTTTAGACTGTTGTAAATCCAACCTTTTTTCTCCTCTTCGCCGCCGCCAGCTTCACTTCTATAACTCCATTTCAACCATTTAATTTTTCTATCATCCAATCATAGTTGTATGGGGTAACGGAGGAGGTCATGTAATCTTAATTATTTGGATTGGATATCTATTGAAATTTGTCATTAAAATGTTTCCAACCTCAAATTTATAATTTAATTTGTCGCAAATGTGAATTAGCCATTTCTATTGAATATACAATATATTAAAAGAATTAAAACATCGAGAGNNNNCGAATGTGAATTAGTCATTTTTAGGGAATATACAATATATTAAAAGAATTAAAACATCAAAATTTGCTCAGTTATATATATAATTTTGGATTATTTAGAGGAGATTTGAGTGAATAATGTAGCTAAAAGGATAATATTTTTTTTCTCAAATAAGATAACAAGCTTTAATTTCTTTCCAACATAATTTATAAATCATTCAAAACCGAGTAATATTTCTTCAAAAAGGAACAACAGAAGAAAGAACTAACATAAATAAAATAACAATAAAATTAGGATATAGCTAAGGAAATAACAAAAATATTGTAAAATCATTCAAAAGCCTAAGCATTCTCTCTACGGACCTCCTCTTCTTCTAGAGTATAATCATTCACGATACCAAATACTTCACGTATTTCCTCTATTGTTTTTCCTTTGATCCTATCAGCAAATTCTTGGACTATTACCTCCTTCTACTGCATATCATCAAAAAAATTATTAGCCAAGAGAACACCAACTAATTCTGATTGGCTCATCTTCAAGAAATCCTGCTCAAAACTCTTTAACTGATCTTCCGTAACACCTTCTTCTAAATATTTCTTCCAATATTGAACCACTTTGGTCATTTTTTTGCCATCAATATTTCTTCCAATATTGAACCACTTTCAAATTTAATATAAATAGCTTTAATTTCTTTTCAACATAATTTATAAATTTATAAATCAATAAAAAATAAATAACAATTCTATAAAAAAGAGCATAAGAAGATAGAACTAAATAAAATAGGATATAGCTAATTAGACAATTTTAATTCTGAAATTAAAAAGAACAAATATTGAAAATAACTATAAAATCATTCAAAGGCCAATCATTCTCTTTATGTATCTCCTTTTCTTCCTCTGGAGTATAATCATTCTTGATATCAAATTCTTTACGTATTTCTTCTGGTGTTTTTTCTTTAATCCACTATTAAAAACTGTCAAAAAGAGACGGAAAAAAGCGACGGACTGTGTCGCTTTTTTAGCCAAAAGCAACGGAAAAGCAATGCAGTCAATCTCGTCGCTTTTTGGCTCGACGCTTTTCCAAAAGCGACGGACTGTGTCGCTTTTGTTTGTTTTAAAAATAAATTGTTTTTTTTTAGAAATGCGACACCGTCCGTCACTTCTTTTTTTAAAAAATAAAATAAAAAAAGAGACGAAGTCCGTCGCTTTAATTAATTTTTAATTTTTTAGAATCTTGAAAAGCGACGGACAATGAGATGCCGTCCGTCGCTTTTTTGGAAATAAAAATTTGAAAAGTCCAAAAAAGCGACGAACTAAAGGACCCTGTCTGTCGCTTTTCTGGGTTTAAAAAAAAAAAAAAAAAAAAAGCGACGGACTAAAGGACCCTGTCCGTCGCTTTTATGGGTTTTAAAACAAATCCAGAAAAGCGACGGACAAAACCACCCTGTCCGTCGCTTTTTCTGCAATTTTTTTGACGGGCAGTTTCTATTGCCCACTTGCAAAAGCAATTCAGATCAATTCAATTCAGTTCAACCTCAATCAAACACAAAACATTATAAAGAAGCTACACAAAATATAAAACAACAAACTTAAATTAACATTCAAAAATATCTAAATCACAATTTAAAGACTTAGAAAGTCTTTCAAAATTCGTTCCAAAATTACAAATAGTTCATAAAGACTATATTTTATCAAGATTTCTAAAGTTCAACCTAATAATTAGTTCATAAATTCTATAAATCAAGATTTCTAAAGTTCACAACCTTAAGTTTAAAATCCTACAATAATTTAAGATTCTCTAAAGTTCACAAGTTAAAGTTCTAAAATCCCACATTAATTCAAGATTTCTAAAGTTCTAAAATCCTAAAATAATTCAAGATTTTTAAAGTTCACAATCTAAATTTCTAAAATCCCACAATAATTCAAATTCTCTAAAGTTCACAACTTAAAGTTCTAAAATCCTACAAAAACTCAAGTTTTCTAAAATTCATAACTTAAAGTACTAAAATTCTACAATAATTCAAGATTTCCAATGTTTCACAACCTAAAGTTCTAAAATCCAACAAAAATTCAAAATCTCTAAAGTTCTAAAATCCTAAAATAATTCAAGATCTCTAAAGTTCTAAAATCCTAAAATAATTCAAGATTTCTAAAGTTCACAACCTAAAATTCTAAAATCCTACAATAATACAAGATTTTTAACGTTTACAATCTTATAAAGTTCTAAA